TCTATTGTTAGAACCTGGTTTATAAACAATTTTGTACTGCATCTCCAACAGTTTAGTAAACACCTTCTGCTGTCGAGGGGTATTGAGGCGTTGTTCATTCAAATGGATCAAACTCTTCTGATCAGTAAATATAACAAACTCAGCATGCAACAAGATCTCCGATGCTCAATAACTATTAAAATAGCTAAATACTCCTTTTCATATGTAGACAAACCATGAGTTTTGACACCCAAAGGTTTGCTAATGAAAGCCAAAGGATGACCATCTTGTAGAAGAATAGCACCAACACCATTTTTACAGGCATCAGTTTCTAGGCAAAATTGTTTGGTAAAGTTAGGCAAGGCTAGAACTGGAGCTGAACTTAAGGCCTGCTTCAAAGTAGAAAATGCTACTTCCTGATCCTTAGTCCAAACAAAAATGTTGCCCTTATTAAGTAATTCAGTCAGGGGTTTAGTGATCACAACAAACTGTTTCACAAATTTTCTAGAATAACCAGCCAATCCTAAAAAGCTCCACAATTCCTTGACAGATGTAGGGACAGACCAATTGACAACAGCTTCAACCTTAGCCAAATAAGTGGAAACAACAGCTTCACTAATAACATGGCCTAAGTAAGAAATTGACCTTTGGGCAAACTTACACTTAGACAACTTGGCATGCCAATGATCCTTCTATAAAAGAATCAGAACCTCCCTCAAATAACCCACATGATCTTCAAAGGTCTTACTATAAATCAAAATGTCATCAAAGAAAACAATGCCACATCTTCTGAGCAAGGGAGCTAAAGTAGTATTCATGGCACCTTGAAAAGTCCTAGGAGCACCAGAGAGACCAAAAGCCATAACCAAAAATTCAAACGGCCCATGGTGTGTTTGAAATGCAGTTTTGTACTCCTCACCAGGTTTCAGTCTGACTTGATGATAGCTAGATATAAGATCCAATGTAGAAAACCAACTAGCCCCAGACAATTCATCCATAAGTTGATCAAACACAGGTATAGGAAACTTGCCCTTGAGAGTTAGAGCATTCAAATATCTGTAATCTACACAAAATCTGAAAGTGTCGTCTTTCTTTCTAACAAGCAACACTGGAGAAAAAAAAGGCTGAAGAACTAGGCCTAATGATTCCCAATTGGATCATATCTGCCACTTGCCGTTCAATCTCATCCTTGAGAGAAGGTGGGTACCTGTAGGGACGAATATTGAAGGGCCTAGCACCAGGTATGAGAGGAATAGTATGGTCACAATCTCTGGCAGGAGGTAATGAAGTAGGGGTAGAAAAGACAACTTCAAACTGCACCAGCAACTTAGAAATTGCATCAGGTAACTCAGCCTCAGACTCACCAGGTGACTGAAGTTGAACTGATGAAATCTGAATCAAAAGTTCCTCATCATATTCCGGCAAAATACCTTGCAACACAGTCAAAGAACCTTGATAAGGTATAACCATCCACTTATGGTGACAACGAACCTTCATTGGACTGAAACTCTCCAACCAATCCATACCCAAAATGATGTCATAGGACTACAGAGGCAATATTTTGAGTTGCTGTTTAAACTGACAACCCTGAATAGTCCATTCAGCATCTGAAACTGCTTGAGAACAAGGCATAATACCTCCATTGGCAACCTCTTCCTGCAAAAGGGCAAGAGTGCAAGCAGTATCCAAGTTTGATGGGCGTTGGACAAGAACAACTGCTCTAATATCATCATGTAAACCATCCACAAATCTAGTACTAAAGAATAATGGGTCTGCTACTGATTCATAAGCCGAAAGTTGATCAACTAAACTGGAAAACTGCTCGATGTATTCAACGACAGTGCCTAACTGTTTAATACGAAACAATTGCCTGACCAACGATTGATATTGATCATTTCCAAAACGTTCATGAAGCAATGAACAAAACAGTGGCCAATTTAGAAGAGGGTACTTGCGCTCAATAGATTGGAACTAACATGCTATGACAGGTGACAAATGCATGGATGCCACTCTGATCCAAGAGTCAGGCTCAACATGAAACATATCAAAATAAATTTCACAGCGAGAAATCCACAGTCTAGGATTGTAGCCGTCAAACGTGGAAAAAGAAATTTTGGGCAATTTACCCAAATAACGGGGGCCTTGATCCACAGAACGGCCAGGAGCCATAGAGGACTCAAACAAAGGACCATGGAACTTAGGAGGAATAGGCGGGGTGGAATCGAGCGTACCCTTGACCGGGCCAGGGAAGAAGGTCGCATGGGACCTAAACCCCTGATCCCGGTAATGAAGATCATCACGGTGCCCCATTGGGCCATCGGTGTGGATCCCGGCAGATGGGCGCGCGGACACCGACTCCGGCTTGGCGAGCAGCCCCGGATCTACAGCAATGCTCTCCAGCACCGAGCGATCCCATTCTTTGGTGCGACGCTTGAGCTCGAGCTTTATGCTGTCCATGGCGGCATCCACCGACGGCTTCCAGGACACGAGCTCATCGTTGGCTTGCTCTAGGACATCGAGGCGTTCCTCCTTGGTATGGGTGAGCTCATCGAACTTCTTCTCCCACTTTAGATCCATCGCCGTGAAGCGCTTCTCCATCTCGTCCAGAATCAGTTTGGTGTTGGGATCCATCACGCCAAGGCGACGTTGTCGGCGGGTGAAATGCTCATGGTCGAGAAGCGGCTCCAGAGCGAACGCAAATCCACCGCAGGTATTGGTGTCTCTGATACCAGATGTTAACAGCGTAGATTGAAGAACAGGGAAGCAGATAGGAAATGGGAAGAGGAAGAACAAGGTAGCAATGTCGGATTGGAATGTATGCATTTGGAAGAAGATAGAGTTTACATAATTCTTTTCATAACCCCTCTCAACATGACTCTTCTCTATTTAACGCTCGCCTTGCGTGCTCAGCTACAGCTAAGCCCCGTCTGGGCCGAACACTCGTGAATTCTTCTTCCTGGGCCTGGTTCCCTTTCGCGGCCCAACCTCGCCTTCAGGTGTTGTTGCTCGTCCAGCAACGTCATCAGCTTCTGTTATCGGTCCAGCTCTTGTCGGCAACTCTTGACGATCAGCGCTAACACCACAATATGTACATGTGGAGAGTATCGTTGTCTTCCTCTAAAAATTTATGTATTTCTACCACAACACAATGATTTTGTGGTGGGCTTCTCCGAGAAACATGGCCCATCACCTCCAAGAACTTCTAGGTCAAGGCGCTCATAACCTTCTACCATTTCTTTCACCACGACCTTGGTGAAGCCCTGCGGTTTGCCATGAATAGTGCCATTCGGCCCCGTTACAATAGCCTCGGCGTATGCCACCCTGGTAGTGACGTTCATTGATGATATACGTGTATCTCATGTGGCACACATCGCCTGAAATCATCCACGGAATAATGGCCCATGTCCAAAGGTCCCCATAACCACGGTTCAACAGTGGAAGCACAACCACTCCACTTTTGTAGGGGGCTAATGAATGCAGGATTACTCCGTGCCATTTGTTGCTGCAGCATCGCATCGTGGCTCATGGCTTGTTCCATAGCACGGAACTTATCTTCGAAATATTGTTGCAAAGCCTACAACTTTTCTTCTTCTGCTGACATGCTTTCTTCAGTGACTCCGATAAGAGTTGGACCACTCGGGCCAAGCGTCCTTCCCTGAAACTGAGCCAAATCCTCGTGTTTGCTAGTGTGCATAGGGTTCTTTAGGGCATTGGTCAGCTTGTCCTTCTCTCTATTTGGTTTGAAGGTACCTTGAGAAGTATCCGTGATGGCTTCCAAAAGCCTTGATCCTGCTGCTGCTGCTGGCCTATTTGGTTTTTTACACCCTTAGTATCTGACACACTGACTGTTCCATTCACCTTCTTGCAATAGGAGAAAAAACATTTCAGAAATTTGATAAATAATTAACCATCAAAGGCTTGTGGTGACACATGAATAATGAATTACATTATCATGTGCTTCTTCTTTGGCCTCAATATTGTCCTTAGACATGTTGAGGTATTGGTTAGTTGGGTGACCCTCCTGACCATGATTCGGGTTACCCTTGGGCTACCCACCTAATAAGCAGAACCGGCAATAATCTCCTCTAGCGACATATCATTGGCTCCTGCATCTTCTTGATTGAACCTTGCTACAGGATTGAGATCCATTGAATTCCGAGGGGTGTGTTGGATTATTGTAATTTGGTATCACAATTCTATAAAAAAAATATAGACTAAAAGTTCATCACCATATTTTACAATTCATTAATTCCCCCTAACTTTTTTCTAACTAAATTTCCATCCACAAATTTCATCTTCATATTTCACAACTCACTAATTCTCCCTCAGTATTTTTGTAACTAAATTTACAATATTTCCACAAATTTCATCATCATATTTCACAATTCATTAATTCTCCCTCAGTATTTTTTGTAGCTAAATTTACATTCACAAATTACACACATATAGATACATCGGGTAGGGGCACGTCGTCCACTTAGTCGTGTGGTGTCCGTTCACAAGAGCGGCAACGTAGAAAACAATACCATTGAAAAACCAAATCATAGAAACTAAAGAATATGTCAGCCGATTCTTTTAAAGTGGGAAGAAAGAGTAAAGAATCAGGAGAGGACACGTGTAAGCTTCTCGTTTGCCATCGGTTGGTTAGAACCGGCATCGATTCATTTGAATGGATGGATGAGATCATCTTGATCTCTATGTTCCGTAACAGAAAGGAATCTGTGAGTTAGTACATGAGCAAGAAAGGAATCCGTGAGATTTGCATTTGTTTTTTTTTTCAGTTTTCTAAAGATTCAGTTAATCTCCACCGTAAGAACATTACTTTTTTATTTTTGTAAAGTGAAATATCAACTTTTGTATGATCTACTAACCATAACTCAGTCACGTGTGCTAGATAGACGATGGTCATATATTTTTCTTTTTCTCCGGTTAACGTGAGATTTTTTTTTGAGAGTTTATGGTTAGTATAGGTATTGTGGATGTGGCTTTTGGAGTTTAGACAACTAGCAAGGTACTGATGCATGGTATGTGTGCAGGTTATCAATGCTGACACGATCGACGCGGCTGCTCAACTAATTCTTCATGAGCTCAAGGGCGACAGCAACAATGTCATCTACTTCGATGGCTGGGACGGGATGGGGGCGTCTGCTGTCCTTCGAGCCGTCGCCCAATGCTTTGACGTGGCCTCTAAGGTCCCAGTGGGACTGCAATTTGATCAAATCATCCACGTCGACTCCTCAAAGTGGCAGAGCAAGAGAGCACTTCAGAGGGCGATAGCAGAGCAGCTGGACCTGCCCGCAGAGGTGATGGGGATGTTTGACAGGCAAGATGAGGAGGAGGATTACTATGGGGTGGCCCAGGGCTCCCGTGCCGAGATACCGGAAGTCCTCAAGGCGATGTATCGACGCATCAAGGAGCTGAACCGCAGGTTCTTGGTGATCTTCCACAATGGGAGCAGCGAGGAGATTGACCTAGGCAGCTACGGCTTTCCTTTGTCTGAACACTATGACAACAAGGTGCTGTGGACTTTCCAAGGGAGATTCCGGCTCTACCCCAAGATGAAGGTTGACAGGGCCTTGAACAAGAGCACTGAAGGGAGGGTGGCGACCTACCTTGTTCTCTTGGCCTCCTCCCACATTGAGGGTCGAGATCCACAAGAGATGTGGTCCTCCCTTGTGCGACAAGAAGCTGCAGAGATCATCACTAATACTACTGGCGGGCCTGCACGAGTTGCCGAGTTCTTCATCTTGTTCATGATGAGGCTTTGTTGCATATCTTATAACTTGATGATGGACTACGATTTGGCTACCCATGCCTGCAACTACTGGGTGTGTGATGGCGTCCGACACCTACAACAGGGAGACAGTACTGGTGATGGCAACGACGTATCATGGAGATCAGCAGATGCTCTGCACCTTGAGATGCAACTGGATTTGGACTACTACCACTATAACCACCAATATTTCCCCTCTCACCTGCTATACCGGACTTCACCATTCTCTGGATTTCTTTTGCTCCCTAATGCAGACTTGTTCCAAGACTTGGGCAAGATTACTGTGCTGAAGCTTTCACGCCGCACCTTCAGCTTCACATCACCTCCGTTTGTCCACTGCCACAACCTTAAATTTCTATGGCTTGACCACTGCCAAGACCAAGAGATGATCAGTAGCAGCATAGATGGCTTCCTTCAGGATGAAAAGAAGAAACTCACCCAAGATGAAGATGGAGCTGCAGCAAAGGAGTACATCCAGCAGTGCTTCAAAAGGCTCTGGGTGTTAGACATCCGCTACACACCCTGCAATCAGATCTTGTCTGCACAAATGATGGATGCCATGACTCAGCTCAGGGAGCTAAATGTGATGGGAGCTGAGGATTGGGACATGGGCCAGGTGCAAGGACGGCTTCCTAACATCTGCAAGCTCCGAATAACCAAGTCAGCAATCCGCTGCCCATCAGGAAATGACGCCGACCTCTTGTTGTCAGGAATGGACAAGGTGCAGCTTCTTGACTTTTCTGGGAACCAGATCATGAAAGAGAGTGGCAAGAAAAGCTTACCTACGACAAGCTTACCTGTGGCAAGCAGCCTGGAGACTGTCATCATCAATGACGGATGTGTTGGGTTAGAGAAGATTTCCTTCAGGGGGTGTGCCAAACTGAAGAATATCCTATTGAAAGGATCGTTCCAAGAGCTTCGAATCCTGGACGTCTCGGGCACAGCAGTGAAAACACTGGATCTCAGTGCAGTTACAGCAGCCCAAAAACTTGACGAGCTCCTTCTATTTGACTGCGGCAAGCTCTGCGCAATCCTGTGGCCACCACAAGAGGTAATTAGGAGAGCATTGTTGAGGAAAGTGTGCATTGACACTACCATGCAGACCTCAGTATCAACTGCGCCCCGATCCAGAGAAGAAAAAGCAAAGGAGGGTAGTCCTGTTGCTACGACGACAGGACCCCGAGCACCATCTGAATGTGATCGGTTTGTCTCTGTGAGGGATGCGAGGCTCCTGCGTTCACTTGTTCCCTTGGAAGAGCACTTCAATTTCGTTGTGCATGTGGAGATTTCCTCTCCACTTAGTCATCCTGCTATCATCTCTGGAGGAGGTAGCAAAGATGCTGACAGCAGCAGGAGCAGTGAGCAGCCACCGCTTGAAGACGGTAACGGCGGCCACATGCAGCAACTGATGGCAAGCGAAGGCGGCGGCAGGGGTGAAGAAGCTCCAACAATCACACAGATATCCCCTTGCCCGCGTGCTCCTAATCTACCGTCCCAGAACTGCTACACGTACATACAAGACCATGACCAGCATCCGATGACCTTTACAATACCGGACTTCATCTGTGATAGAGCTATGATCCTACACGTCCACGATAGTCTGTCCATCAGCAGTATCCCTGGCCCTGCACCTCTACAAGGTTCACAGTGGACAAACCTAAAATGGTGCCGAGTTGAGCGGTGCCCCATGCTGGAGTGCCTCTTCACCGCACCCCGGTCGTTGTTAGGAGATGGCGACGCTTGCGTCTTTTACTCCCTGAGCACATTCTGGGCGTCGCAGCTTCCCAAGGCACGCTTCATCTGGAACTGGCGGAGCTCATCATCCTCAAGAATCAGAAAGCTTCCGAGTGGATCGTTTCTTTTCCTGGCCATGTTGCACCTGGACTGCTGCCCCAGCCTGATACATGTACTCCCGATGCCAATCCAAGGTCTACGCGTCCTGCGGACCCTCGAGATCATGTGGTGTGGTGATCTTGTCGATGTCTTCCCATTGGAGCCAAACACCGCAGGCCATTCGACCCTGGAATTCCATAGTCTTAAGCACATCTGCCTTCATGAGCTGCCGAAGCTGAAAGGCATATGTGGTAGATGGAGGGTGTACGCGCCTAAGCTCGAGACCATCAGGATCAAGGGATGCTGGAGCCTCAGGCGCCTGCCCAATGTCCGTGGTGGTAGCAGGGTCGAGTGCAGCTGCGAAAAGGAGTGGTGGGACAGCCTGCAGTGGGAGCGGGGAAACCCTAACCACAGCCCTTCCCTCTACGAGCCCATCCACTCGCCGCATTACAAGAAGCACCTGCTCCGGAGAACTGTGCTCAGATGAGGTATTTAGGTACGTCGGCGGCGAAAGTTAGATTTAGGTTGCTTTGAATGGATTAATCTCTTAATGTTATACACCTTGGCTTCTCTGGATTATTATTGCAGATGGAGATCGATCAACATCAATACGTGCTCAGCTCGCTTGCTTCATCATCGAGTGCTTGTGTGAGGTCTTCGATTCACGGTTGCGATCCGTCGCTCGCAACAGCTGGTGTCTCTGCTTTCTGATTTTTCTTCCACTCGATCTGCTGCTTTTGGTTTATTATCGATTGAATTTGTGTGTGAGATCTGCATCGCCCCAGCCCCAGCAAGCACTGCCCACTTTGCTTTGCTTTGCTTTGGTCGGGCCGGCTTGCTTGCTTCGGCATCGAGTAGTGTCCTTGTCATGGCAACTTGTTGGCTAAGCGCATCTTGGTGTGGTGTGATACATATCTATCTACTCTGAGCAGTAGATAAGTATATAAATAAGGGCGAGACATTAGTTGGCATTGGACAGCTGAATTCCCTTTCAGCTTATGCGGCAGCAGATAGCATTCATGCTGCTGCCGCCGCCAACTGCTCTGCTCTAGCTCGGTACTCTGCGTGCTATATATGTGGCCCCCGGGTAGTTTTGATTTGCCACCTGTGTGTACAAACTGAATGACCAAGATTTGTTAAACTTGCTTCACTTATTATATATTTGGTCCGTTCTAAATTATTGACGACTTTAGCTTTATTCTAAGTCAAACTTGTCTAATTTTAATCAGATTTATAGAGAAAAAAATTACCAACATATATACATCAAATCAGATTCATTAAATCCACCATAAAATATATATTGGTAGCGTATTTATTTTATATTATAAAATTAATATATTTTTCTATAAATTTGATCAAAATTAGATAGATTTGACTTAGAAAAACGATCAATAATTTACTAGAACAGAAGAGTAAACCACCTCATCCGTCAACCGGCACACGGAGACATCACGGATGTGGTTAATAACACACGGAATGTGACAATATTAGTGGTGGCCCCCGAGAAGCACCGGCACGATATGTTGAGTATTCATGCCCCCAAACAGATTGCCGGTTGCCGGAAGCACCGGCAGTCATCGCCCTGTGCCCCCAAACAGGTTTATTAATATCCAAAACAGCTGTTGGATATTAAGTTGACCTACCTGCCGGTCAAGTTGCCGGATTATTTAAGAGATGAGACAGGGGACTGATCGATGGCGCTGAAACTTTTAGTTTCCGGAGGCATCATCATCCACAGTGATCTCAGTCACAGGGAGACAGCCGTGGGTGTAAAGCAGGGTTAACAAAGTCGACGATAACTGCGTCGATTTGGCGGTTACCAACATGGGTGTAAAGAGATATATCCAACATTTGATTTTACACACCAACGTTATTGTTGCCTGTAGCACCGCACTGAAGCAAATCGTGGATCTTTTAAAAGTAAAAAATGAAGGAAATCGTATTACAGTTAATTTGTAGAGGACGGATGTGAAACCAAATCAAATGTTTTGTCTAGGTTTAATTGAGCAGTGCAAGTGCGAGCTCAAGGAAAACAATAACACATTTGTTTTTCACGTCCCCGTGGGTCTGCCTTCCTGCGACACTGCATTCCTAAAAAGACTCCTAAATACTTTTTTTGCCTGTTGCTAAGATCAATCATCCTCAAAACAATATATTGCTAAGATCAACATCATGTTTTCTATGCTCCGTGTATTGCACTGAAAATATTTTGCCGTCCATACACTACCGGAAAAACGTCCTTTGCCGAGATCCTATACTTTTGCCGAGAGCAAAAATGCGGGCTCTCGGCAAAGAAGACGTTTGCCGAGAGGGGCTCTCGGCAAACACCGGCCGTCGGCAAGTGACAGGATCGCCGTGGGCCTGCCTCTCGGCAAGAAACAGCTCTCGGCGAAGCGGGCCGTTTTACCGAGAGCCGCGTTCGGCAAAAAATGCCCGTCGGCAAAACGGTCCTTTGCCGTAGGCCGCGCTCTCGGCAAAATCAGGCTCTCGGCAAAACATTGCTGCGGGCCCATAGCCGTGACTTGCCCTGACGGCGTCACCGCTTTGCCGAGAGCCCCTCCGTTACTGCTCTCGGCAAATATTTGCCGAGAGCCCCTCCCAGGCTCTCGGCAAATGTGGTTTCTATATTTCATGTGCATGTGTTTCTCTTCTCCTAACTCTCTCCAATTAAATTATTTTTTCTTTCATATGCTCCAAACTTTTTTATCTATAGACATACTACAGGTTGTACTCAATATTAAAATTTTATGTATTTTTGTAATTATTTGCTATATATAATTAATTAATTGCATTTCAAGGAGTTTTTTTAATCGATTAAAATTTGAACAACGATTGATTTAAACACGGGAAAAAATTTAGTAGAAAATGATATTCATGTTATTTATGCATTATTGAGGGCAAATAACATCTTGTAGACGTTTTTTCGCCTTTTATTTTACGAATCGAAGACCACGAACATAAGTCGCCCAACGATTTAAAAATTCTTAAAAAACGAAACGAAGTCGGAAAATTGTGATATTTGCAATGAAGTCATGGTATCACACTTGGAGGCTGTGGTAAAAAATTGAAAATGTTTCGCACAAGTGGTTGCGTATGATTCTTACAATCTGAGACATCTGAGAATAAGTTTCATAAAGTTGAGAAGGATCCACTAGAATTTTCAAACAATGTCACGGTCGAATTAGTTTTGGAGTTCCAAACTTTTTGTATAGCCATTAGAGAGCATAAGTTGTAACACGGCAAAATTTCGTATTTTTCCGGAGCCGTTTGCTGTTTATTAATTTTTTTTTGGATATTATTTGCCGAGAGCTTCAGGGGATTGCTCTCGGCAAAGGCTCTTTGCCGAGAGCAACTGGGCCCGCTCTTGGCGCAGATTTCTTTTTTTTTTACCTGGCCTGGATCAATGGTTTGCCGAGAGCTGCTCTCGGGAAAGATTTATTTATTTTAGAAATATCATTTTTGTTCAGTTTGCCGAGAGCTACGCTCGGCAAATAATAATTTTTTTTTAATTTTTTTTTTTTTTTGCAATTAGCTAGTTAAAAAATTCGAACGGAATTTGAAAAAAAATAACTTTACCGAGAGTTGGATCTAGGGGCTCTCGTCTCAGCAAAGGTGTAAGGTTTGCCGAGAGCCTCCCAGATCTGGCTCTCGGCAAAGTGCTTCACACATTTAACCGTTCGGCGCCTTATCTCTCTCACTCTTCACGCACGCACACACACCGCCGCCGCCGCGAGGAGCGCCGCCCAGCTCGGTGTGCCGCCGCCTCGAGCCTCTGCCCCCGCCGTTGCGTGGTTGCGTGGCTGCGGTCGCTTCTGGCGGGCTCCGGCCTGCCTCTGCCCCCGCCGCACGCGTCCGACGACGACCTACGGGCCGCTCTCGCCGACGGCTCGATCCTCGCCGCGGCGCTCCGCAGGCTCGCCTGTGCTTTGACGCCCGACCAGGTAGGTCCTCGATCGCACGCACCACTAGTATGGGCTCCATTTGGGTTTTGGGTTTGTTGCTCGCCCGTGATCGTACGTCATCGCAACTGCAGGGCGGAGCCTCGGCGGCGGCGGTGGGGACGGGGAGCGCCTGGGCCTTCCCAGCTTTGCCGCCTCCGACCTTGACACGGTACGGTATTCTCCCTTGGACGACCATCAGCTGCTTCCGTAGCCTGTTGAAATTACTTCTGGACTGCACAAATGTATCGGATATATAAACAAATAATTTCTTCAATGATGGCTTTTTATAGTATCTGAATATGAACATCAGCCACGTTCCAGTGTGATGCCGTATTCGAGTACTATGATGATGCACGGGGTGATTTGTAGACCTTATGGAATCTTTTACTTGGGTTATTCTTCACTCTACAAAAATGCTCGAGCAAATTAGTTCTTATGAAATGAAAGTACAATTATGTGTCAAATTTGTCTTTCTGAAAATTTACATTCTTTTAATCATTTAGCCTCAAATTGTCTTATGTGAAAAGAAAAGCTGAATGCTACAAGGGGGTGAACACTAAAAGCTAGCTTATCAAGTATGTTATGAAACAGTGCTGTGATATCTTAAGAGTTGGATTTTATAATTAGGCGCGAAACTGCAGATATTTGTTTAATGATGCGCTCTACTGAATGACCTACTATAGGCTTCTTAAAAGCATCCTATTGTGTAGAAAAAAGATCTTTTCCTTCATCTTGGTTTGTATTCCATAAGTCTCTGGCATTAGACTATTACCCTAGCAATATAGCATACATGAAAGTTAGTTGTGATCTTTAGTATGTGTTGACATGCATAACATCCAATGAAGCTCAGAGGTTCTTCCATCCAACTAGATTTGGCACTGTTTAGACACTCCAGTGACATGCATTTTGCAGCTTAGCATGTATTGCTTGCTGCTGTTCCTAGACATGCTAAGATCGTAGCTTTATTTTATAGTGTAGCTTCATTTATTCTTTCAAACGTTTATTCCTGCATGATTTACAATTGTCTTATTGTTTTTCTCGTAGTCGGCTGCGCATCAAAACCAGCCATGCGGAGAGCTCAAGTCATGGGTTCTGGCCCACAAGGGCAAGACGACAGACAACATCAACTGGAACCCGGACGACCCAGCCGAGTCGTTCACCAACGAGAGCATCCCCGAGCGCATCAGTCAGTACACCGAGGCGGCAAGGGGAGTCCATGGGGCAGACTGGGATCCGCACACCGCGGACATTGACGGCGACATCGTCATGAGGGTGGGAGGAGGCAAGAAGCATGGGCGGTACCTCATCGGCAACAGCACGCTCGACCCGCACACCAGTCCCACTCTCTCACAGGTCCGGACAAGCAGCACGAGCGGTAGCATGCCCATACGCCCAAGGCAGGACACTTCGACGCATCGTGTGGCAGCACTACAGGTTATTTCTGTTTTATTCGTCGTTCATTGGTTTTACATTCCTCGAAATTGCTTGTAACAATGCGGTGAAAAATTATAGGCCCAGGTGCATGCGCTCGAGGAGCATAAGGCTA